GTTCTTATGGGGCTTTAAAAGTGGGAAGGGGTCCTGAGAGCAAAAAGTTTAAGAAACACTGCATTAAAGTCATCATATCTAATCTGCTCAGCCCACTGTCTGAAGTGTAGAATACAGTGATAACTAGGGCAGAAATGGCCAACTTTCTATTTCAACTGCCTCTGTCATGGAAAGACCACCCACTCCCAAGGCTGAATTCCTGCAACAGATTAACCATAAGCCTCGCTTTTCCCGTGGAGTAAGAGACCCTTTTAGTCATCCAGCCTTACAGGCTCAAACCAACTGAACTGGGATCATGACTTCTCCTTCCATGCTGGATCTATTTGTTCCTGCTGTGTCTCTCTGGGTTTCTCTTTATGCTGACCCAATTAATATCCATCTTGTGCTGCTCGGTTAGTTTAAGCCACTTTGGAGGTACACGGATAATCTTCCAATATTTCTAAATTTCTTCTTTAACCTGGTGAAATGCCCAAGCTGGGTGTGGGAAGAGGCACAGGCAGAGTGATGCCAAGCTGAAATCTCAGCATGAAGGAACTGCGCACCAAAGGCAGGACAGGATGAGCCACGGGGACAGCAAACTCTGCAACAACTTTATTTTGTGCTCAGAACCATAGTGATGTGAGAGCTTTCTGTGAGTTTTTGGTGAACAGAAGCTGCAATCCTACACTGACCTTTGGGGGGCTGGGGACACAGCACTACATAGATGTTTAGAACAACAGCTGCCACAATCCGTATTCATGGATGGCACGGGCAGGGCCTATGGGATGTGTATACAAAATACACGGACTGCACATGCTTTGGAACATCTTTGTTTCTGAATAAACAATGCAGCCCAGGCTGCATCCTTCTTATCCAGGATTTATTGATGTACTTCTTTATTTATTGGATTTTTAAGGTCGCCCCGCTCTGAAAAGGCTCTGGACGGCTTACAGTATTTCTAATACATAATTTAAAAACACAGTTAAAAACATAATCGCCCAGACAAGATAATCATATTACATGATTTGACAGGAGCTCCACGCACAATAACCCCAGCCCTGGAAACAGAGCCAGGTCTTAAGGGACTTCTGGAACCCATGGAGAGTGGTTATTTCTGGCACCCTGGCTTTGAAAACTGCATCCTTCTCAGCTAATTCAGCTAATTGTGGTAGCTTCTCCAGTAATTATGGTGTCCAATTATGACTTCTGTCCTTAAAAGCAAATTCTAAAATGCTGCCCATTTCCTCTCTAGTGATTTCTGGACTCTCATAGCGTGGCTTAACTTGCTGTGCTGATCTAACAGTAAGGAAGACAAGCATCATCGCAAGGAATAACTGGGTGATTGTAGAGTATTAGATTCTAAATCTAATGGTCTAAATCCTCTTGATCACATGCTTCCTCAGGATGAATGAGACTCTGCCACTAGGGGGCATCCTCACCTAATGCATCTTCTGGAACATGGACATCTCCTGCACTCAGAAGATCATAAGACCTCTTAGGTTCCTGAGCACTCCATGACTCCGATGATCCAACAACATGTATTGGGTGACACTGGGTGAGTTCCAGAGACCATTGTGACACCAAATGTTATGCTCCTGTCTGGCTCTGTTTTGCATTCACAGACTTGCCCGGTCATGGTTAAGTTTTGCCTAGCCTACAGAAATGCATTATGTAGGAAAGCAGAGGGCCTCAGCTCCAAAAGCTGCTTCCTGTTATTTTTCCATCATCCTTTGCCTGGGGTGAAAAGAACTTAATTTCCTGTCTCTTCTGCATTCCCAAAAGGGCCCAGAGAAAAACTTTTTGATCAGGTAACTTTCCTATTTTTTTTCAAGTACCATGGTATTGGAAAAGGAGAGCTACAGACTAGAGCAAAGAGAAATTGAGGTGGGGAGAGTCTACTTATTTGCACCCCTATTGTCAGAATCCAGCAGTATTGATTCTGGGCATAAAATGTGCAGTTATTGCAGTGATCTGAAAACATCCTCCATTGAAGTACTGTATTCCTTCAAGCAGAAACTGAGGGAGCAGCTTTCTGGTCTTCCAGATATTGCTTAACTAACACTCCCAGCATCCCCTGTCCTTAGCCATACTGCCTGGTGTTTCACTTTTAGGAAAATCTGATGGACAATACATCCTTGTTGGTAAAACACGAGCATTTCCCTCCCTGTGTTCTGAAATAGTCAGCATTGTACAGAAGGTGTCACATGAACACAGCTACAGCCTTGTCCTACAGCCTTGTCACTTTAAAATATTTCCTGTTTTTCTTTTGTAAATTTTAAAAAGACAGATGCTGCAAGTACCTCCGAATTTGGCATAAGTGTATAAAGTGTTTCTATAGCCCTTTAAAGTGAAATAAATAAAGTTCACCTTTGTTCACACTGATCCCTTGCTCCTGTTTCTCTGGGTTTCTGGCCTGGGGAAATGCATCTCCTAATCTAACTTCAGGAGAAGAGCATTTCTGCTTTTCACCTCTAACTAGCTTGGCTCTCCTTGGGCTTTAGATAATTTGGGAGAAGTCCCCTGGCTTTGATCTCTACTTGAATGAAGCAAGCAAAAAAATGTGGTCTTCTGAAGCTTCTAGAGCCATTCCAGAATGGGTGGGGCAAGAATTTGAGAGAGTTTGTATTCTGGGGAATTTTAAGGAGGAAATATGTTCCTTAGGCATTGTAGATACGCTTAACCCTGCCATTTCATCCTTTAAAATTCTTCAAATTCCCATCTCCAGCAGGTCCTCGAGTTGCCCACTTCTGGAGGGCAGTTCTGAACATGCCATGCCAAGCCTATGCAGTCCTTAAGAAGACAGAAGTTACATATCTGAGAATTAAAGGCTCTGAGGTCCTATGATGTACTAGAAATCATGTACTAGAAATTCAGGGGACAATACTGGGCTAAATTGACAACAGTCTGACCAAGGACCAATTAATATCTTGACTCAAGGATATCTTGACATGTGACTCACTCAAGGCACTAATGACACACACTTTCTTAATACAGCATTTCCCCCCAATGATTTTACATGAGTTTTGTTGTCACTAATGCTGGTTTTTTCATTATACTGAGCTACATGCATTCCAGACCAGCAGTTTTGTGGCAATTTATACCACCTAAAGTGATTTTAAAAGTTGTAGACCTAGTTTTGCAACATTCCCACCATTGTTATCTTTGATCAGAGGAGATGGGAAGTCTTGGTTGATATATGGTAATTGTTCTTAACTTCCTCCCCATTCAAGATGGGAACGGCTGAGGTTTTGGGGGTAGGTGAGGGGGGACAGCCTGATTTCTAGCACATATGATAAACTGAACAATGTCTTATAATTTAAACTAGAATTTGCTGGGTTTGCACAATACCTTAATATGCTTAACCTGATCAGTTACAAATCTATGATTTGTTAACTTAACCTTGGTTAGTCCTGTGCTTGATTATTCTGCAAGCAGGTTAAATGTGTTGTGTGAACTTAGCTGTATGGCTTAGAATGACGTGTGCATTCCATCACGCTTCTTATGGTTGAGAAATAACAACTCCGTTCATTTGAAATTACAGTAGTGGAAAAGTGACCTTAAGTGACTCAACTTCAAAGTAATCTCAGATCTTTATTTAAGCATCAAACAGGACAGAAAGAAACACTTCCATTTACTCAAGAACACTGTCAAGTTTGGAACCTCACCTTTTTTATGTTGCAACTCTAAATGTGTTTACACAGAAATAAATCTTGTTAATCTCAAAGATTAGTAATACCAATCCAATACTTTAGAAAACTTTATGAGTTCACTTATATTTTATAAATGTTTGCCTTTACTAAGGAGTGGTTTTGGCAAGGATCACCCAGCAAGGATATGGGGCATTTTTTCTGACCTTGAGAAACAGCCTTACAGACAGACAAAATCTTGCAAGCTACACAGCCGGATCAAGGCCAGTGCAGCCTGATCCTGGATCTGGATGCCTGAAATAAAATCTCACTTACTTCCAAGTAAATTTACATAATTAAGGTGGAAAACGTTAACCACTTTACTTCAGAGCTTCCAATGAGCTAGTCTAACCTGTCTGTTCACTGCCAATGTTGTTTAATCAGGACACCAACCCATCTAGTCCCTTCCACCCCCAACTCATTGTTGAAATACTGCTTTTCCTTTAAATCCGGTGGGGCAAATTTCAGGCTGGTGCAGGATCTGCTTTGACTGATACTGGAATCTTGAGATCCTCCAACTCATACTTAGGCTGTGTTTGCACAACAAACTCACAGTTAGCCATTATTTAGTCTATTGATCCATTTTTCTGGGGTTGCAAAATATGGTTAACCATAAGCTAGTTCATGCTGGGTGAACTAGTTCATGCGCAGAAACTTCCAGACTAAAATGTTTAGTTTAGTATGCTGTGCAGCCACTGCCTTAGAATAAAAGAATGCTGAGTTGAGGAATCCTACATACCAGAAGCCAGAGGGGGCTCATAATTCATGGCTGTGTTCACACAGTAACTCACAACTCAGTTACTGAATCAAGCTCGGTCTGATTGAACCATAAACCAATTGAAGCATAGTGGCTAAGGTGTTGCACTAGAGCTAGGGAGACCCAAAAGCTAACTGGGTGACTATGGGGCAGCCTCTCGCTTTCCACCCAGCCTACCCCACAGAACTGCTGTTGTGGGGAAAAAGGGAATGAGGCAGCGTACTGAAAGTTGCTTTGAACTCCTGAAGGCAGGCTATAAATCTACCATGAAAATAAACATAAACTGAGAGCCAGTTTGGTGTCGTGGTGAAGGCACCAGGCTAGAAACCAGGAGACCTGAGTTCTAGTCCTACCTGAGACATGAAGCCAGCTGGTGACCTTGGCCTAGCCCCCCCCCCTTCCTTCTAGGAAGGAGGAGGCCAGGGCAAACCACTTCCACAAAATCTTGCCAAGAAAACTGCAGGGACTCGTCCAGGAGTCAACACTGACTGGGAGGCACACGCACAAATAAACCTATTAAGCCACAAGAAAGCAAATTCAGGTTAGAGCTCGCCAAGGTTGGCACATGTTGTGAAAACACTTCCATGACAAGGTAACTATGCTAATTCAACCCATTGGACCAACGCAGCCATGAAGACTTCACGCTGAGTAAGATATGCGGGACCGCTGGGCAAAGTTCCCAGCAGACTTTTTTTTCCTGCTCATTTAATAGAGGAGAACATCTGTAGCTCAGGATTGACCTGTGGCGTTCTTGGGGCTCTCGGAGCTTGGTCGTTTGCTTGCAGACGTTTCAAACGTCTGCAAGCAAACGACCAAGCT